CAAAAACACGAACGACAAAAATCTGAGGAAACATCTGAGATTTAAAAACACTTTTCATTTCAAAAGTCACAGAAACTTTGTCCAAAACTCAAAAAATCCTCCTCAAATCAAACCCACTCCTCTCCCTCGCGCTCTCACCCAGATGCCCTCCCGTCCCTGCGTTTGCCTCAGATGCCCTCCCGTCCCTCCCGTCCCTCCCGTCGTCACATGTCCCGCCGTGACCCTCCTCCTCCTCCTCCTCTGGTCTCCGGTGTCAGAGTCACGTCGTCTTTGGTCTTTGGCTCTCGTCCTCGTCTCGTCTTCGTCTCTTCTCAACGCGCCGCTCTAAAAGTAAACTCCCGCGACCTCCCGCGACCTCCCGCGACCCCCACACGCCGCTGAGGCTCTGCACACCGCCCCAAACGCCACACATGCCCCACACGCCGCCGCCGAGACCCCGACAACCTCTCCTCAGTCACCACAGAACCATCTGGGTTGGCTTTTGTGGTTGGAGACTCGCCCCGGGGTCAGAGCTAAAGCCCAGTCGAGTCTGTGGAGCGGCGCCTCTCCACATTCTGTCCTCATTAAAAGCTCGAGATGATGAGAGACGACGGCAGCACAAAGAGACACAGAGAAGAACGAGAGAAGAACGAGAGAAGAACGAGCAGAGGACACTGATTTCACTTTGACTGATTTTAAAAACATAATCTTTAAAACTCACTTCTGACTCTAAACTCTCGTCTCAAACTCGTTTTCATATTTTCACTGTGACGTTTTTGAGCCGTTTTCAAAAGATTCTAAACTGAAATCCACTTTATGAATCCAGAAAGACGAGTCGGGTCTAAAACTTCTGCTTTTTTTTTGTTTGTTTTGTTTCCGCAGAGTTGAACCTGAACCTGTCTCTGTGCTGGTTTCTGCTCTGGATGTTCTCCCTGACCGGACTGAGGGACGTGTCTTGCTCAGGGACACTCAGGGTGAGACTAGAACCGCAGACCGTCCGGTGAGTTGGTGCAGGGATTTAGACGCACACACGCACACATGTACACATGTACACATGTACACACGTACACATGTACACATGTACACATGTACACATGTACACATGTACACACGCACACATGTACACATGTACACATGTACACTCCCTCGTGTGGTTGGAGGGCGGGTGTCTGACCCCCTGAGCTCCGTACCTCCTTGTACTCCTGGATCTGGCTCTGCTCAAACATGGAGAACACGTTGGAGGAGCCCTCTCCGCCTCCTGCCCTCCTCTTGGCCTTCTTTGGTGCCTGGAGGACAAAACGCAGGGAAAAGTCACAACGAAATCAGGATAAAATCAAGACCAAATCAGGACAAAGTCACAACGAAATCAGGATAAAATCAAGACCAAATCAGGACAAAGTCAGGACGAAATCAGGATGAAATTGGGACGAATTCAGAATGAGATCAGGATAAATTCAGGACGCAATCAGGATGAAATCAGAACCAAATCAGGATGAAATCAGAACCAAATCAGGACAGAATCAGAACAACATTGGGACAAAATCAGGACAAAGTCAGGGCCGAATCAGAAGAAAATCAAGACAAATCAGGATGAAATCGGGACAAAATCAGAGAAAACTGTTTCGATTATTTTTATAATGAAACTCTACGCGCAAAACCTACAAAATCTAAACGACTAAAACGATAAAACAGAAGAAATGAAGCTCCGTCCCGACACAGACTCTTGTTTAACCAAAACTGGAACAGAAACGATAAACCCAGAAAGACCAGATTTTCCACAAGTTCAATAAAAGTCACGTCTGAGATCTCCCCAATGACCTGAGCCCCAATGACCTGAGCCCCAGAGACCTGAGCCCCAAAGACCTGAGCCCCAGAGACCTGAGTCCCAATGACCTGAGCCCCAGAGACCTGAGCCCCAGAGACCTGAGCCCCAATGACCTGAGCCCCAATGACCTGAGCCCCAAAGACCTGAGCCCTGTCGACTCCATCACTAACACCTCAGACACTAATGACACTTTAAGTCCTTAAACTCGGCTGATTTTTCCCACATTTGTCAAATCCTGAGTTATAATTTGGAAGAGAACCAACGGTTTCAACAAGATTAAAGATAAATCGGATTCAGTTTGAATTTCTTGAAAGTGGAACTCAGATTTCGTGGGCGTCAGATACTGAAGCTCACAACAAAATCAAAAGATGTAAAACTGTTTCTTCCAAACTTCCACTGACGACGCGAAAACAAAATATTCCTTCATGCAGAAACTGAAGGTCCAGATTCGAGCGGTTTGGTTCTGTTCGGTTCTGTTCGGTTCTGTTGGTTCTGTTGGTTCTGGTTCTGTTCCGGTGCAGTGGAGTGTGTGTCCCGGGTGTGATGGGATGTGAAACGGCTCCAGGACTCACCATCTCGAGACGTGAGCAGAACCTTCCTGGATCAGAAGAAGAAGAGACCTGATGAAGCCGCGCTCGCTCCGCTTTTCCACTCGCTTTTATATCCGAGCCGGGCCGGGCTAACTTTAGCCCGCCT